CATAAAAATCGGAAACAACTCACTCCAAGGTCAGCATAATCTAGGAAAGCTTCATGACCCTTTGTGGCAGCATCGATGCGTTCTGCTTCGCGATTGAATAATTGCAAATCAAGTTGTTCCTTTAGCTGAGCGTCACGAATGCGATACATATTCTGCAAAAGCCGTTAATAAGACCTATATTAATTTTTGAGAAAAGTGCACTACCTTGACCGCTGTCATTTCCGCTCCTAGATGATTCAACTGTGCTTCGACTTCACGCAATCGCGGATTTTTCTCTAGTAGACGACGTCCAAGCTCTTGTACGTATTCCAGCTGTGAATTAGAGCCCGGATATCAATACAATTTTACCAGTACCCTAGCCATACCTCATATTTCTTGTCCTTTATCTGCTCTCCAAGTTCGTAATGCTTCTTGAGCAGATCTTCAGCTTGCTGCACATCCAAAGGTCGTACTTCTTCAGATAAAGCTTTTTTGGTGCGATCGATCCAGGTCAGTACATCTCTCAGCGCAGATTCGAACATTTCTTGGCCTGAAAAGGAAAGGATTTTTCCACTTTTTTACTCGGAAGTCCTCACAAACTGCCCATCACAAACCTTGAGATTGCTCAGCGATCTTGATCTTTTCATGAGCTCTACGCAAAAGATCATTGTGGAGGCCACGAAGCTGAGCAATCTTCTTTTCAATGGCTGCAGCAGCCTCAGGGTTCTTCTTTTTGACCTGAATGGAAAATCTCAGTGGTAACGGGACAATGCATTCATACCAAATCGTACCTCAGCAGCTAGCTTCTCTAGATAGTGAATCTTATCCTCAAGAGGCTTGAGATCGCGTTCGAGGTTTTGAAGGCTCTTCAGATCATTTGGATTTCTATCGAGCAAATCGAATTTGCCCTGCAAAAGTTTTGATTGAGAAAAAAACCAGCATGGCAAAATTTGACGAATACTGTGGTAACTGATAAGATAAGAAATCCTTAATCTAACAGTAGAAATATTTGAAAAATTCGCAAAAAAAAGAATAAATACGATGATCATAAGCAACAAACCTGCATCCATTCCCTTGTATCATCGCAAGACGAATCGAAGTCAGCAATTCTTTCGGTAGTTTCCAATTTGGCAGCACGCTTGGCGCGCAAGCGTTCAAGTTCTGCCCACAAAGCATTCACCTGCAAAATAATCATAAGTTAAAAGATATAAAAATTGTTTCCCACTAACCTTCTTCTGTCGCGCTTCGATCTGTTTCGACTGGCTGTGCCCCTCACTGATCAGCTCATCTGCCATGACATTGATATGTTTCAGTTGGGTGCCACCGCTAGTCTTCATTTCAGCTTCCAAGCGATCAAACTTCTTACGGAATGCTTTCACATGTTCTACGCTAGGCTCATCCAGCAAGGCAGCCTCAGTCTCGCGAGCCCATCCTTCGAACTCATCACATTCACGATAGAACCTTGAATAAGCGTAATTTTACGTAAAAAGAAAGAAGAGGAGAGAAGGAGTTACCGTACCTCATGAGTTTGATATTATCTGACAACAGGCGTCTTCTCACTTCAGCAAGGCTATTCAGTTGTCTATAGTCGGATGAGATCATCTTCTGGCGATCAACTATTGCACGACGGCTGTCGGCAACGTCACTTTGGGGTCTTACGGTAGTTGTGGTTTGGGTTACGGTAACCTGTAACACAGATACAATTGACGTTTTACTACAGCAGGTTAGTGTTAGTAGAGATTTCATGTTAAAGGCAGCGGCTCAATGACACCTTTGAGATATTCATCGTTATCGGTTCCTTGGATGAGCTAAGTCCAAGACTGTTCTTTGCAGCTTCAAAAGATGTCAATAACCCGCTTTTCCAG